GACTAGGGGAGACATGTTAGCAGTGTTCCAAGGCACCTGAGGGTAGAACAAGAAGCAATGGGTGGAAACTAATCAAAGAGAGAAGCAATTTACAACTGAGGAGAAATTTCCTGACAGTTAGAACAATTAATCAGTGCCTCCAGAAGTTGTGAATGCCCCAACACTGGAAGTCTTTAAGATGTTGGATAGCCATTTGTCTGAAATGGTATAGGGTTTCCTGCCTAGGCAGGGGGTTGAACTAGATGACCTCAAAGGTCCCTTCCAACTCTGCTATTCTATTGTATTGTAAATTTTTCTAACACATTCCAATTGTAACCCAATTTACCACCTTTCTTGCCACAGTTGTTAAGTGAATCGCTGCCAGTGTTATGTTAGCAACATGATTGTAAAGTGAATCTGGCTTCCTCATTGACACTTGCTTGTGAGAAAGTTGCAAAACGTGATCACATGACCCCCGGATGTTGCAACCGTCATAAATATGAACCAGTTGTCAGCCGTCCAAATTCTAAGCAAGTAACATGGGCATGCTGAAACTATTTTAAGTGTGAAAAATGATAATAAGTCACTTTCGTCGTGACTTTGGAATGGTCATAAAAGAATGGACTTCTTGTAGCAATTAAGGGCAACGCAATGACGAGATGATGAAAGAAATATTGAATGTTTTGTCATTTACTTTTGAAGGCTTAATCTTGCAAGACTCTTCCTCTTTCAACTAGTGTCCAATACAATCTGGACATCACAATGGTAGAAAAATATTCTTTAACTATGGTGGTAGCAATATAGCCTAAATTTATATAATACTGTGTTTCCCCGAAAATAAGACAGGGTCTTATTTTCTTTTGATCCCTGAAATAAATGCTTGGCCTTATTTTCAGGGAGGTCTTGTTATTTTTGAGGTGCAGGAGGTGGTGAGCATGGTCACCTCATGGCTGCTGCTGCGTTGCAATATTTTCAGGGAGGTCTTATTTTAGCACATGCACTCAAAAGCCTGATTGGGTTTACTATCCGGGCAGGTCGTATTTTCGGGCAAACGGGTGTACCCTCCTGCAAGAGAAACAACCTTTTGAATAACCCTTGTGCGTATTCTTTGCACAGAGTGGAAATCTGGCTCAGGAGCAAGTTAGACCAGAACTGTTGGCAACAATGTAATTGTAAACAAACTTAGTAGGCATTTCTATTGCCAAGAATGGGCAACAGAAAATTAATAAAACAGCTGTTACCTTACTACGCTCACAGAGTGAGTGGGAGGTGTGGATGACTAAAAGTACACAAAACACATTCTAATTATAAGATGTCATTTCTTTTGACAGAAGTTCAGCCTTGCTTGGCTGTTAGGTTTATGTTGTATATGGTACAGCTGAGCTACCAAGAAGAAGGCCACTAGGCACAACTCCTTAGACATTAGACTTTATTTCACATTATTCCTATATCAGCACAGCCAAGATAGTATCCAAATGGGCCTGGTTTGCAGTTTGTGTTAAGTGTGACAGAGGAATTTCATTAACTATCTAATTCAGAGTTACAAAGCCACACTGAGAAATAAGATGAAATTTTGGGATGATATAGAGCAGTAACAGACAAAAATAGATGTGCCATGAGTTAAATACTGCAAAAACTTTGTATCCAGATTAAAACATTTGATTCTGGTTGCTTTACTCCGAGCAATAAGGAGAAATTGCTCAATAAGTGCATGAATTATGGGATGACAGGTGCTTAGCCTTGTCTCTTTCATCATTTAACACCATTTTCTTTTTAACATGCGCATGGGCGTGTGACTGACGCTTCTGCGCATACGCAGAAGCATCCGGGCAGGTGGGCGGAACTTCTTGCTGCTGCCACTACTGGTTCACCTGGTCCGGGGCGAACCGGCAGAAACCCCCCTCTGCAACTGATGCTTATGAGCTAGATCAAACAGCCTAGGTAACACTCTTGCACAAGCAGCTAGTAAGACTTAAATATAAAAACAGATTAGTTGCAAAAAGTAAAAGCAAATCTATTTTTAAAAGCACTGGAAGTTCACGAAGGCAGCCTAGTGCACAGGGAAGTAAGAGCTCCATCTAGTCAATGACATGGTAGTGGTCATTCTGAAAAGATTTGAAGATTAACCATTTTTCTGAGACTCTAATTTTAGTTTAACCTCTATGTATTACATTTCCCTTTCGAGTTAAAACTACCTTTTAATTTCAAGAAAGTACATAAAATGAATAAAATAAACTGTTCTAAATTTCGGCTGAAATTGCTGATTTTCTCAAATATGTTTTATATAATTAGATCATACAAACTGGCTATTTGCACCTTTTACTGCAGAATATTTTGAAATGCTTAAATATATTGTACTGCTTTGAGTTACATTTTAAATGCAGATTATTTTTCCCCCTGGAAGTAAAAACAAGAAAGGCAACTTGTTAATCTCTGCAAATGATCTGCACTATTAGTTAAAAGATAACTGAGGCATACAGTAGCATTTATTTGTCTAGTAACATTCCACTACTTCAACTTTCCTTAAGATTGTGGTAGAATAGTAATTCATGTTGGAATAAATTAGTAGTAGGATTCACTTAGGTTTACCACTGGTTTGCAACTGTGAATGTGCATGCTAGCGTCGCACGAGCCTTTCAGGCATGCATGCGGCATCGAAAACGAGGCTACATAGCACGTTTTTCAGCTGGGGCGGGTGGGCAGGCGCACGCACAGTTCGGCGCTACCGGTTTGGGCAAATCGGTCCGAACCGGCTGAATATCACCTCTGGAATAAATATTTTGTATATGTCCTTTTTTATGCAGTGTATGTTTTACCCACCAAATTGTTATATTTTTCCTGTGAGTTGCTATATAAATACTGTATTCTAAACTAAAGATTTATATCCTACTCGGGAGCTATTATCAAACCTTAGCCTGCCTACCTGAATACTTGTCCTGATTTTGCTACAGAATTAGCACTAAAACATGTTATCTTCATCCACTTTTTCAATGCATTTACAAACTATGCAATATGTTCACTATTTGCCACACTTATGCCTACCTGATTGGATCAGACAGGAAACAGAGGCCCCAAGCAAGCTTTATTTTTTGCCAGACAGAAAGTGCAGCAATGGCTCTCTTGAATGTGACTGGAATAGGTCTATCTCCAAGATGAAACTTGCAGAAAGGCACTTTACTCGCCTAGAACAGGAGTCAGATTAGCGCTGCATAAGTTTCTGGTTCAAAAGTTTTATTTTCTTTTAAAACAAACATTTCATCATTCCTCAATCAGTAAGACATCGGAGTACAATTTTTTGTGTGTGTCAAAATAGTTCTAGTTTACCACCAAATTCTTGTCTAGCCTAATGTATACCCCTGTGGCACAACAAAACCGCGCTCGACTAAAGCGCGCCTGATTAAACCGTGTCGCTGACGTCATCAACAGGGCGACAACAGCAAGTGCGAAGAAAGAAGGGCGCTTTAAATAGCGCTTTGAAAGCAAGCCGATTCAAGTTAAGGTAAGGGTTAGATTTAGGGTAGACAAGAATTTGGTGGTAAACTAGAACTATTTTGACACACACACAAAAAATGTACTCCGATGTCTTACTGATTGAGGAATGATGAAATGTTTGTTTTAAAAGAAAATAAAACTTTTG